TCCTTCCCCACACAAAATGACTCAACTTTGTAAGAACCAACAAACTGTAGCCAAGCCAAATACACGGATCCTTAAGCATACCTGAAACTTGAATATATTTATTACAGACATCTTAAGACCCGTAAGCTCTGCTCTGGATCACATCACTCCAGGATCTCAGAGCTGTTCATGATTGTACAGGAAAGGGGGAATATTGTAGGCTCACAAAGGATAACTGATAGAACTCAGTGTGGTACTTCAGGGACACCAAAACATTGTGCGACATGCAAAAGACTGTTCACGAATCACACAAAATATACATTCATTGTGCCATCCATCACATTAACAATTGAGCTGAAAATACATCCTATCCAGCTAAGATAACTGAGGAAGGAAAAGGCTGGTTTGACTAATACCTTTAGGTTCTGAATAATCCAGCAGGAAGTTTAAATAGAGTGTGGCCAGAGAAACAAGAAAGGAGCTGGGGATGGGGAGAGACTGAAGCACAGGCAGCAAGGTTTCTGAACCTTGTGGTCTGCAGGCCTTCTTAACTCACTGAAAGAACAAACTGAGGCTACCCTCCGAGGCATCTGATTGAGTTTAAATGAGGGATTTTATTTTTAACCTATCATCACATATAAAATTGTACCAGCTTTGAGAGTTTGCCCACCCTGTTTGAATCACTTAATCTAAACATTTCTAGAAAATCTGTATAAAGATAAATCTCTCAGGACAAAGTATTTACAACCAGCAAACTCACACACAAGAATGAATTAAATTAAAAGGTGAATTCAGTGTGTAAACACGCCCATAGTGCATCTCTTCTCACAAGCTCCTGGGCTCTCTCCTTTCTCTTTACCCCACTTTGAGGACAAAGTAGGGGAGATCTGTAAATATACAGATAGGTAAAAGATGGGAGGCCTCCCTTTGGCATGTTTCTGCTGGCAAAGGAGACAATTCTCCAAAGGGCATCTAAAAGGAACAGTAGGTTCTGTGGAAATCTTCTAAAAGTAGGGGCCCTCAGAAAATTGGTGCGGGCACCCATCTGCATTAAGAAGTTAACACACACACCCCTCCCTCCCCAACCAAGCATCTAGTCCAGAATTCTCAGTAAACACATTATCCTGCCCAGGAGCGTCCCAGATAGGATCAGAAAGAAAGAGAGAGACTGCAAATGGAAAGGAAGATAAGCTAAGAATGTGCTTTGAGTATGAAGTCCCAGCCCGAGGAGTCAGAAGCCTGGGCCGCGGAGTGGAGTTCGGGGCTGGGCAGGCCTCAGTGGGAGGTAGTCAGAGTGTCGGAGGTAGAAGACCCCGGGGAAGGAACGCAGGGCGAGGAGCTGGATTTCTCTGAGGACTCCTCGGCCTTCTCCTCGCTTCCCGGAGGGGTGGCGGGAGAGATGGGCAGGAGGCCCTCCTTCTCTCGTTTCTTCTGCTTCATTCGGCGGTTCTGGAACCAGATCTTCACCTGGGTCTCGTTGAGTTGCAGGGACGCGGCGATCTCCACCCGGCGGGCGCGCGTCAGGTACTTGTTGAAGTGAAACTCCTTCTCCAGCTCCGTGAGCTGCTTGGTGGTGAAGTTGGTGCGCACTGCGTTGGGCTGACCGGCGTAGCCGTGCGATGAGAGAAAAAGGTAAATATTTAACAATCCATAGGAGAGCCCCTGTAAGTTCAGAGCAATATTCAGGTAAGGGGGAGATGGAGAATTTCTCCACACACCCCGGGCTGGGGAGGTTGAGTGATGAGGTGTAAAGTGTTCATCTGAAGTCAACCATTAGTGTGGTCAGACCGGTGATGAATGGAGCCCAGAGATATTACCAGAACAGCCCCACGCACGCACACCTACCCACTTCCTACTTCCAGAATCTCTCCATCTCGGCCCCTCTGCAAACACTACAGCCCCAGGGGCTCCTGCGCCTCAACACACACCTGGGCAATCCCCCAATGCCCTACAACACCGGTGGGAAGCAAGTATTTTTCAAAAGACAATTTATTAATTGTCCTTGGAAACTAAGCATACTAACTCCTTCCAGAATCATCACGGAGCATCCGCGGAATGGCAAGACTGACCTGTTTTGGGAGGGTTTCTTTTGACTTTCATCCAGTCAAAGGTCTGCGCTGGAGAAGAGGTCTCTGGTGCCGGGGAGCGACAGGCTTCTTGGTGGCTGGCGTGGAGAGGGGACAAGGAGTTATTATACGTGGCCAGGACCAGGCTCTGGTGCTCTTGTCCATATGAGTGGTGAATGTACTGAGGCGATCCCACCGCGCCCCCGGCATAACCCTGGTGGTGGTGGTGATGTTGGACCATGGGAGATGAGAGATTTCCAGAGTAAACAGCGGGAGCGCACGAGGGGTACCCCCCACTTACTTCTGCTTCCTGATTTAACGTGTACGGGCTGTAGGGCGCGCCGAAGTTCTGCGCGCCATAGCTTGGACCACAACTCGAGTGGTTGTAGGACACCCCCAGGTTCCCAGGAGTCTGGTAGGTGGCCGGCTGGGGGTGGTGATGGTGGTGGTGGTGGTGGGGCGAGCTGATCTGCACCCCCCTGCCCACTAGGAAGCGGTCGTCGCCGCCACAGCTGTTGGCACTGACCGCGCACGACTGGAAAGTTGTAATTCCGTGGTCTGCGGGATAGGCTCGCGCGGAGCAGGTCCCCGAGTCGCCCCCGCTGAGGATGGGGTATTCCAGGAAGGAGCTCATTCTTGCATTGTCCATCTGTCACTGAGTGACCGGGTCCTGCGAAGCCCTAGGTGACCGTGCCAACTTTCTCACT